CCTGCGGCGCGTCACGTGACCGGGGCAGCTCCGCGCGGCGCATGCGCAGAGGGGCGCCCCGCGCGCCGCCTCCTGCCCCGTTTCTCCTCAGAAAAGCGGGTTTTTTGGGGGGGTTTTACGGCAAAAATGCTCCTTCCAGGAGATACTGCGGCCGGTGCCGTTTGCTTAAGGCTCCTCTACGATGCCCCCCCCCGCCCCAGGGAGGCCTCGACACAGGGAACTCCAAACCTAACCTCGATAAATAAAACCAAATGTTTATTTACACCAAAGAATTCCAACACTGGATCTTTCACATATGAAGGACAAAGTATATATACACAGCAAGGGGTCGCAGGGCCGTAACAAGGGTGCTTCTCCGTTGCCAATGACCACACCTGTCCCCAAGACCTGCCCTGCCCCGCCGGGCAGGGCTCGCTCCGTCCTCCCAGTGCTATTTACAGACCGTGAGGTATCACTGGTATCTCACCGCATGGCACGTGAGGGAGGGGATGGTGGGTGAAGTGGTGGTATCAGACTTTGTGTTTTGTTTGTTTGTTTTCCCCCCAGCTTTAAGTAGCCACCAGCTTGAAACCTATAGAAACGATTTAAAAACAATATACTCAAATAACAAACTAATTCTGGAGATCCCAGCCAAGCCAGGGCAGGTGAGCCCTCCAGGAGGAAGGGGCTGGGGAGAGTGTGGCTTCCTCTAGAGGAGCCCCTTTCTCCAGAGGTGGCAAGGACTCCAATTGGATTAGTAACTTCATCTTTTAAGACTAAAATTACATGCAAGGGGTTGATTTGGCGTTCTGGCTTTCCTAAGGACACATGATTCAATCCAAGTCCCGTTTCAGACATTATCTGTACTTCTTTTAAGCTTATACCACCTCTCCATACTGGAATGGTCTCCTCAGTGTACCCCAGCTGAGCCATGTGCAGGACATGGGGTTAAGTGAGTGGTACTTTGGGAATCCCCCTCCCCTGCCTCATGAAGACTTGTCTCTGGAGAACAGCACGATCCTCCAAGGTGTGGGCTCACGGAGGAGTGAGTAATGGCAGGAACATCAAGAGATTTCCAGCAGGATGCAAGAGCTTGGAAATGCTGTGGATCTTTGTACTTAAATGAAGAGGGTTTTCTTTTGGGGGGGGGGCG